GTGGAGGGAAGAGAGGCAGAAGCCATGGCCTGCGTGATGGGGGGGGGTGTGGACCGGCTGAGACAGGGCGGGGTGGGGGGACGGAGGGCGAGGAGGGCGGGCTCGGGAGGGGTGAGACGGGAGGGTGGGTACCGGGGTCACGCGGACGGAGGGGGCGCCACACCGCTGTGCAACCACGGACAACCTGCCTGCCCTCTCTGCCTGTCCTCGCGAGCACTGGGCGGGGCGGCTGTGTGACCCCGGCTGCTGTCTCTCCTCTCTGAGCCTCAGGTCCCCACCAGACAAAAGCCCCCGGGGGCCCACGGGGCGGGCTCGAGGCCCGGGTCAGGAGGCCCTGCTGTCCCTGACCCCCCGGCCGGCCCCCCGGCCCCTCCCCCCTCCCCCCAGCCGGCCTCTCGGCCCCTACCTGTCCCGCAAGAGGATCCCTCCGTCCTAATCCCACAGGGGGACGGTTTGCAGGGGACGTGCCGGGCGGAGCGCAGGCTGTCGGGGAGAGAGACCAGAGCCCGTTAGCACCAGGGCACCGGACCGGAAAGGGTGTCTGCTGCCCGGGGTCACACAGCCTTCCCCTCGCACCCAGCTCAGCCCTCAGGGTTCTCCTGGAACTGGGCACCCCGAGAAGCCTGGGGTCCCGGGGATCCCGGCTGGTGGGGCATCAGCCTGGGGCTGAGGCAATGAATAAAACATTAATGATCGAAGGCCGGCTGTGAATTATTCAGGGCCAGCCGCGGCCGGGCGGGCGGCATCAATTATTAAGGACGTTTTATTTATTGATCCCCTCGTGGAGAGGTGGGGTGGGCAGGCGTCTGCACCAGTCTATTCATCATCTAAGCAGCTTGTGGTGTCCTTTCCGAGGCAGAGTCTCTCTGCAGCCCAGGCTAGCCATGCTCCTGCCTCAGCCCTCTGAGTGTTGGGATGAAAATCCCGTGCCGCCGCCATGGCCTGCTTCTCATATCTGTCATGGCCACCACATCCTGTCTGCGGCAAAACCCTCAGCACTCAGGGACAAAAGAACAACTCGTACCAATCATGCCCCGCCAGGGACACAAGAGGGTAACAGCTTGGAATGGGGGGCAGGAAGGGCAGAGCGGATGGCAATGGAGCCCAGGGGAGGAGGAGGCTTTGCATCCCTGAAGTTCCTGTTGTAAACCAAGCAGCGGTCCCGCCTCTGACCACGCCCCTCAAGGGGGATTCTAGGCGGGGCTCCACCCTGACCACGCCCCTCAAGGGATTCTGGGCGGGGCTCCACCCTGACCACGCCCCCAGCCCCTCACTGGGGATTCTAGGCGGGGCTCCACCCTGACCACGCCCCCAGCCCCTCACTGGGGGATTCTAGGCGGGGCTCCACCCCTGACCACGCCCCCAGGCCCTCACTGGGGGATTCTAGGCGGGGCTCCACCCTGACCACGCCCCCAGCCCCTCACTGGGGATTCTAGGCGGGGCTCCACCCTGACCACGCCCCCAGCCCCTCACTGGGGATTCTGGGCGGGGCTCCACCCTGACCACGCCCCCAGCCCCTCACTGGGGATTCTGGGCGGGGCTCCACCCTGACCACGCCCCCAGCCCTCACTGGGGATTCTAGGCGGGGCTCCACCCTGACCACGCCCCCAGCCCTCACTGGGGGTTCTAGAGACTGACTTATGTTACAGGCATGTAAACTGAGGCACAGAGAGGGAGAGGCGTTTGTCCGAGGTCACACAGGATATGCGCTGTGTGTAAAGGCGCATTTGCACTACAGCCGGTGTGGGTTCTGGGAATGTCAGGTCTGGGGGGCTACAGGTCCCGAGGTCAGTTGGGGTTTGGGACATGCTGGGGGGGTGCTGGCTCCGGGGAGGGACACATGGGGACAGACACCACGCCCCTGGGCCACGCTGGAGTCTTGCCTCCCGCACCCAGAGTCTCTTCCAGACGGCGACGCCTCACACCAGTCCCCCCCCCCCCCCCCCCCCGACTCTCCCGAAGAGCCGGACCCGAGAACCCCGCGTCCATGCACTTTTCCTGTTACCGCACCCGCAGGGTACCTCAGCCTTGTGGCAATCCTCCTGCCTCGGCCTCCCAAACGCTCTGAATCTCTGACGTGTCTAGTGTTTTGGGCTTGGGGTCCGGTACGCGGATCCCCGGGAGCCACCAGGCCGCCCGAGGCGGCAGCTGCTGCTCGCCCCCCGGCCCCTCTTCACCCCGACCACGGCAGAGCCGGTCTGTGCCAACCCCAGTACGCGTGAGCTCAGGCCGCGCCAGCCACTCACCGGTCCAGGCTGCTGGGTGGCCGGGTCACAAGCCAGGGACACCAGATCCTTGAGCGGGTCCTGGGGGTTGAGATGTGGCGGGTACCGGATGGCCGTGTGGGGGAAGTAGGTGGAGGCGGTCTGCGGCAGGATGGAGGTCGCCGGGAAGTGCAGGGCCGAGGACGGGTGGGGACTCCGTGAGATCCCTGTGGACAGGGGTGTCGGGGTCGTCACGGGGTCAACCGTGGGGTGCGGCTGACACCCCAACCCTTGGATGCCCAGACCAAGTCAAACTTCAGGCAATCCTCCTGCCTCAGCTCCCTGCACCCCGAGAGCTTTTCCACAAAGCACCGGGCAGCAAAATGTAAAAAACCCCAAAAGGACAAAACCCAGGCCCCGGTGCAGCGGACGGCGCTGGCCAGCAGGCGGAGCCGCGGGGGCTGGGGCAGGGCGGCTCAACTGTCTCCACGACTTTACGTCCTGACCACTGCCCCGCCCCCTCTGCACCCCAGGATGCTCCTTCCTGTCTCCAGAGTCCCCCAGTTATGGACACTTCCTGTCACAGAGCGCACACCGTGTGTCTGGGTCTCACGCAGAGGTGCCAGAGCCCCCTTCCCGCTCGCAGCCAGGGCTGTGCGTGCCATGGCGTGGCTAAGTCTCCCGCTGGGGTCACCCATCCCTCCCAGGCCCCAGGCCGATGTCACATGGCTTCTGTCGCACGACCTTATCGGGATTACCCACCACGGCCAACACAGTGTGCTTGGGGCCGGGTGCCAATAAAACTTTATACGTGTGACCGAGCACAGGGCCACAGCCAGCTGACCCTGACCTAGCCGGGTCGCTGGGGTCACAGCGGATGATGCCCCCTACAGTCTGCCTCCCCCAGGACAGGCCATCTCCAGGACGCCACAGTCCCCTGGCCGGAAGGCTGGAGCACAGGACGGGTGGCTGGGATCCTGGCTGCCCTGCGCCGGCCACACTCACCGCTGTGCACGGCGATGACGGGCCTGTGGTGCTGCGTGAAGCTGGAGAGCCGGGGGGAGTCCTGGGGGGACGGGCTGTTGAAGGGAGACTTGTCCATCTCCGTCTTCTTCACCGGGGACGAGATTCCTGTGAGGGAGGGGACGAGTCTCCATCTCTGGGGCGCAGAGAATGATGTCACCCCCCCCCCCGAAGAACAAGGTCTAAATGGGAATGGGGCAGGCGGGGCTGGGGGGGCAGGGAGCGGCATCCAGAACACGCTGAGGGGTTCTGGAGAGAGCACGGGAATAGTACACAGCCACGAAGAGGAGTGAGGCCCTGACGGGCATCCTCAGGGGAGGCTTTTCTCGTCCCCTGGGGATCCTGGACCTGACTACAGGGGTCAGGTGCTTGTACCCTGCCCCGCTGATTCAGACTAGTCTCCAGCTCACGGCAATCCTCCTGCCTCAGCCGCCCACGTGCTGGGGTCCCAGCTACTGCCTGCGCCTGCTGTCACCACCCTGCTGGCCACAGACACAGGCCGGCGCTGCAGCCTTTCCCGCAGGAGGGGCGCTCACCCGCTTCCGGTCTGGACTGTGCGCAGTCACCGGCTCAGCGAGGCCGCTAAGCTGGTCAGCGAGGCTCCTCGTCCCCAGCCATGGCCAGTGCCAGGCCTCAGTTTCCCCGAGATGCACCCTGGCCTGGGTAGTCTAAGGAGCCGCCGCCCCCACCCCTGACACTAGCGGGGACCAGAGATTGGCGTCGCTCGCTGGGGTCACACAGCGCAGACCAGGGTCGCGCCAAGGGCAGAATCGACCCCTCCCCTCCGGGCGGGGGCGGGGCTGGCACCCGGGCGCACGCGCACCGCTTCCTGAGCCCTCAAAGGGGGCACAGAGAATCCTGCGCCCGGAACCGAGGCGCGGCGGGAACGGGTTCTCTCCGGACCTGACCGCGGGACGTTGGCATACAACTCCCAGGAGGCCCTGCGACTCGGAGTGCGTCCTTACACCGGGCCCGGCACCGTTCCCGAGGGACGGCTCGCCTCGGTGACATCCGGCCGGGCGGCCTCTTCTTCCCCGCCCCCGCGCCCCCGCTGGGAACGCCAGGCTCGCGGACGCGAACACACGGCCGGACTACAACAGGCTCGCGGACGCGAACACACGGCCGGACTACAACTCCGGAGGACCTGCGACCCCCCCCCCCCCCCGCGCTCCGCCCGTGGGCGCAAGGCCCGCCGGGACTTGTAGTCCGAGCCCCGCCGGCGCGGCCGGGCCCCACCTCCTTCCATGTCCTCCGTCCAGTTGCGGCTGCTGCTGGTGGGCGAGCTGGGCGAGGTGTAGTAGTCGCCGCCGGGGCTCGTGTCCACGTCCTCCTCCAGGGAGCCCGACTTGTGCCGCTTGCTCCTGGGGGCGGGGGGGAGCGGTTACCGTGGGGATGGAGGGGCCCGGCGCCGGGGACGCCCGAGGCGGACGCAGCGTCCGAACCCCGGGGCTAAGGCTCACTTTGCAGAAGGGGAAACTGAGGCACGCACGCCACGGCGTCAGCTCAGCGGCCTACAGGGCAGGGGGAGGGTCCTGGGTCTAGGGTGAGTTCCCTGGCGCCTACCCGCTGGAGGAGGTGCTGGGCAGAGTCCTCCGCATGCCGGCGCCCGCGGGGTTCAGGTCGTAGGCCAGGTGGCCCTGCAGCTCGCCCAGGGAGAAGTTGGGTCCGGCTCCGGTCACCACGGGGGCTGGGGCGGGCGGGCACAGGTCAGGGGGGAGCCCCGGGCCCCCCGGGAGCCCCGAGCCCCCCCCCCCGAAACCCCAGCCCCCCGCCCCCCAGGGCGGCCCGGACACTCACTCCGGGACACCTGGATCAGCTCCGTGACGCTGAACACGCCCGACGTGACGAAGCTCTCCTGGAAGTCCGCGGTGTCTGCGGGGCGGGGGCGGGGGTCAGGGGTCAGGGGTCAGCGGCCGCCTTCCTCCACCCGACCGCGGACCCCACGGCTGTGGCAGGCGCTCTGCCCGCCCGGCCGGGTCCACACCAGCCTGGGCTGCGCACTGCGCGGCGGGGACCCCCGAGGACTGGGATCCTCCCCGGGGGACCCGAGGTCACGGCCAGGGTCACAACCCTCCTGGCACAGTGAGGCTGCTGGCTCAGGCCCCTGCGGCACCGGAAACGGCCACTACAGACGCTTGTCTGCCCGACACCCCAGTGAGGGGCGGGGACACAGCACTGTGTCCGCCCCCAAGGCGGGGCTCCACCCCAACCACGCCCCCAACCAACTCACGGGGATTCTGGGCGGGGCTACGCCCTGACCACGCCCCCAGCCCATCACTGGGGATTCTAGGCGGGGCTCCACCCTGACCCCGCCCCCAGCCCTCACTGGGGATTCTGGGCGGGGCTCCACTCTGACCACGCCCCCAGCCCCCTCACTGGGGATTCTAGGCGGGGCTCCACCCTGACCACGCCCCCAGCCCCTCTCTGGGGATTCTAGCTCTGCAGACTGCTCCGAGTTACTCATTACTTAGGTCGGGCTTCCCTGGAGCCGTAATCCTCCTGCCTCAGCTGCCCACGGACTCACCCAGCGTGATGGGCTTGCTGTCCTCCTGGTCGGAGCCCACGCCTGTCCTGGGGCTGCTGCTCTGCTCCGTGTCTGCCAAGACAAGAGGGAGGTGGGGGCTCAGATCCCGGCGCTGCCACCCCCGCTGCGTGGCCTCTGGGTGTCGCTGCCTGCCGTGGGCCGGTGGGGAAACTGAGGACGGGCGGTGTGGGGCCGCCAGAGTCACCCTGGCCCCCGCTGCTCCCTCCCCTGCCGTCCGTCCCTGCAGACGGGGGCGGCGCCAGCGCTGAGGTCAGCGGACAGCGGAGGTGGGGGCGGGGCACGGAGGGCTCCACGTCGCTGAGGTGAGACTCGGTTTCCCCGTGGACGCCGGCTGCAGGCCTCTGGCGCATGGGCACTGCTCCGAGGATGCTGACCCCGAGACCCAGGGTCATCGCAGTGGGGGGCGGAGGTCAGGGGGGAGGTCAGGGGTCATCCCTGTGACGGCGCCTCCACCTGCAGCGCCCCTTTTACAGTTTCGGAGAGAGCCACAGGGGGTGCACGCTGGGGAAGGGCTCCTGACCACGCCCCCTGCCCTGCCCGGGAGGCGGGGCTCCTCCTGGCCACGCCCCCAGCCCTCCCCAGGAGGTGGAGCTCTACCCTGACCACGCCCCCAGCCCTCGGTGGAAGGCGGGGCTCCTCGTGACCACGCCCCCAGCCCTGCCCTGTGCGCTGACGTCAGCCCCCAGTGTGCAGAGCGAGGGCGCCGTTGCAGTCTTGTCCCCCTGCAGGGTGACGGCCTTCACCCAGAGGGCGGGAGGACACAGGAGACCTGGCCTGGCTTCCCTGTGGTCCGGGGGATGGAGCGGGGGCGTGGCCGGCAGGGAGGCCCTCGGGATGCACAGCTGTGACTCAACTGTCCCTTCTGACGGTCTCTGGGGTGGTCACGTGACCGCGCCCCTCTCTCCTGCACAGGTCCGGGACTCGGACCCGCACTCACGGGAAGTACAATGCAGCCGCGAACAGGAGTGAGGGGCGGCCCTGCTCGGCCTGGCCGTGAGACTCAGAGCGGCGCATCGGGGACGGACGCGTTCGTCCCTGCGCGAGGTCTGCGGGTCAGGAGCTGCTGTGCCCGGTGCAGGCCCGGGCCGTGCGCGCAGCCGCGTCCCACCCCATCCCGCCGCACCCCGCCCGGGCCTTTGCACCGGGTCCGCTCCCGTGCGCCCTTTCCCAGCTCGCCATGTGCCGCCTGCGGAGCCCGGAGACCCCGGCTCCCCACATCCGGGTCCGTTCTGACTTGCTCTGTCTGCGAGCCTCGTTCTGCACACATCTGACGCCTGCTGTATACACGCAGGCCCTGCGGCCCGGGCCTGGGGGGCCGTGGGCCGGGACACCGGGGACGCGAACTTGCGAACCTCCAGCCGGGGCCGGGACACCGGGGACGCGAACCTCCAGCCGGGGCCGGGAAACCGGGGACGCGAACCTCCGAACCTCCCGCCGGGGACCCGGGGACGGAGCCGCCCCGCCCCCGCC